TCTCTGACCAGTTGTGTAACCCTCAGAGATTATATCCAGTCTATGCAACTGATTTCTGAGCAAGGTTTTCTGTGGGAGCTGGGTCAAACAGACACATTCACTCTACCCTGCCACCAAGAAGGCAAAAGTACAATCTGCCTAAGAACTCAGCTCTGGACATGCAGGCACAGACCACCAGACTCTGGTGACAATAGGCCTTTTGAAAGATGTCAAGTCCAGGAGCAGGGCTGCAACAGGAATCAGAGCTGAAGTTCATGAGAATTCAAGAGGATACTCTTGTCAGAGCCTTGCCAGGGAGCTGAGCTGAACCTTGCCCCAATGCTTTAATAAAGAATCACTGACCATTAGCCTTGCTTAGTTCAGAGGTCACTTAGGTGGGAAAAAAGCCATCCCAGGGCAACCAGGTGTCTTCACATGGAGTTGAGTAATGCTGCTGCAGCAATCTCAACGGCTCTGTTCTTGCTTCAGCCAGTGTCAGGAGGGACAGGAGTCAGAGCGCTCAGCCAGCACTGGGTACCAGGGATGCAATGCAATTCTGGTCACTTCAAGGTCACATCACTACTGTAAGGAGATATTAAACACAGTAGGTGGTGGGTCCTAGGGCTTCCTCACTCTGCCTCACTCCTAAGGGACCCAGTTCCTTGGAAGGCTAACTGGTTCTTCAAGAGAACATATACTGTGCTGTTTGGTCTTTTAGAAACTAAAACTGTAAACAAACCTTTTTGTCTTTAAAAAGCTAGTTTACCTCAGACATTTTGTTATACTAAAAACTGCCACAACAGGGCTGGGAAGGTGGCTCAGTGGTAGAGTGCTTGCCTTGCATGAATGAGGCCCTGGGTTCGATTCCTCAGCACCACAGAAACAGAAAAAGCCAGAAGTGGTGCTATGGCTCAATTGGTACAGCACTAGCCTTGAGCTGAAGAGCTGAGGGACAGCGCCCAAGCCCAGAGTTCAGGCCCCATGACTGGCAAAAAATAAAATTTAAAAAAAAAACTGCCACAACAAAGTAATTACTTTGCTATGGATCTCTCATTTCATTTATTTTTGTGCTAGTCCTGGGTCTTGGGCCCTGGGCACTACCCTTGAGCCCTTTTTTGTCAGCCGTGGGGCTTGAACTCTGGCCTGGGCACTGTCCCTCAGCTCTTCAGCTCAAGGTTAGTGTTCTATCACTTGAGCCACAACACCAATTCTGGCTTTCTCTGCTTATGTGGTGCTGAGGAATCAAACCCAGGGCCTCATGTATGCAAGGCAAGCACCACTGAGCCACCTTCCCAGCCTCCTTGAGCGTTTTTGCTCAAGGCTGGTGCCTTACCACTTGAGCCATAGTTCCACTTCCAACATTTGGGCAGTTAACTGGTGATGCATCTCTCAGATTTTCTTGCCTAGCGTGGCTTCAAACTGTGATCCTTGGCTCTCAGTCTCCTGAGGAGCTGAGCCACCATCGCCTGGCTAACCTTTCCTTTAAAGATGGAGAAAATGAGTCAGGATGGGCAGGTCTTTTTTTGACAAAGGGTACAGCTGCTTATAACAAAGCTGGTTTAGATGGGCTGGGAATGTGGCTTAGTGGTAGAGTGCTTGCCTAGCATGCATGAAGCCCTGGATTTGATTTCTCAGTACCACAAAAATAGAAAAAGCTAGAAGTGGTGCTGTAGCTCCAGTGGTAGAGTGTTAGCCTTGAGCAAAAGCAGCTTAGGGACAGTGCTCAAACCCTGAGTTCAAGCTTCAGGACTGGCACCAAACAAAACAAAACAAAACAAAACGCTGGTTTAATCCTCATCTTGTGTTCACCAGCCAGGCCTGGGCGCCTTTCAGGTACCCTCCTCAAAGCTATGATTCTGAAGACCTGGGAGACCTGCTGAAAGCACAAGGCACCTTCTCCTTTGAATCAGGTGTGAGTGGGGGGATGTCATAAGATGATAGAGCACCATTTGGATAACATGGGCTGGCCCTGATTGGTAAGAAATAAGAAATCCTGGCCACTTCTTACAAGGCCACTGGGATTTCCTTTTTTCAAGCTTGGATATGTGTTGGGCCCTTGTCATCGTTCCCTCAGCATGCAGAGGAAGAGGACTCAGAGACACTCTGGCCACCATGGGCACTGTCTCAACAAAAGGCCTCTGTGAAGGCTCTGTCCCTCCACCTCCAGGCCCAGCTTCTGACACAGAAACCAGTGTGCTCATCCACAGCACATAGAGACAAGACTGGGAAAGCTGTTGAGATAGGACATCACCCAGCCTGAAACCAACATCCTGGATCTTCACTGACTGAGTGAACCAGTTCAGCAGTGACCAGCAAAGACTGTTCCAAAGTCCTACTTCACCACCAGATTATAAGTTCTCCCCCAGAAGAGTGGACACTGCAGAGTGCACCCCTCAGTTGTGACTGCAGCCCGCCTCAAAATGAATAGAAGGGAACCAGACACTGGCCATGTCTCAAGTATTTTTTGGACATATACACTCTTGCACATACATTTCAAAATTTCTCTTGTGACAGAGATTGCATAGAATGCTACTTCCTTCTGAAAAGTTTCCTATATTTCTTTCCTGGATTGCTCATTTACATAAACACACACACATACACACTCACTCACACACACACACACTTTATACCCTTTTTCCTTTTGCTAAGAAATACTTGAGTTCAGCAAGTTCCTCTCTAAGGCTACAATGTAAACATGGGTGTAACTCTTGGTAGCCACACAAAGTATCTTTTCTGGGTGGAAACTATCTAACAAGGACCAGGAGGCCTACAGCACACCCCATCTTTGAGAGTCCCCCAACAGTTGAAAATATTATTTAGTTTCTTTTTAAGTACCTATCAAACTAGTATCTATCATGGCTGTATATATCTCCCTCCATTTTCCAGTCTGATGCTGCCCCCATGTCCAAGGAATTTCTGAGCAGAGGCCTGACACCAGGCAGTAATAAACAGACAGTGGTTATTAGTTGGAAAAAGCCACCTAATACACTAGCCTCAACGTCCTCATCTTTAAAATGTAAACACAGGAGGCAGAGAGCTGAAGGATCAAGGTTTTAGGCCAGCCTGGGCAAAAAGCTCACAAGATTCCATCTCAACCAGTAAGCTACATGTGGTGGATCACACCTGTTATCCCACCTACGTGAAAGGCTTAAATAAATGGATCACCATCCAGGCTGGCCTTGATAAAAATGTAAGACCCTAGGGCTGGGAATATAGTGCTTGCCTAGCATGCATGAAGCCCTGGGTTCATTCAATTCCTTAGTACCACATTAAACAACAAAAAGCTAGAAGTACAAGTGGTAGGGTACTAGCCTTGAGCAAAAACAAGCTCAGGGACAGTACCTAGGCCCTGAGTTCAAGCCCTAGGACTGGCAAAAAACAACAACAAAATATAAGACCCTAGTCTCCCTACCCCGCACAAGGCCCTGAGTGCAAACCCCAGTACCACCCCCCTACTTCCAAAAAGTGGACTAATATAATCTTGCAGTGCTACTCTCAAGAACACAAGCAAGGATGCTGTATCACACCAGGATTACCTACTTAGCTGCTTAGTGACCCTTTGAATGTCTTCATGTCTTACCCAGCTATTCAAAATGCTCAGATGTGTGGCACTAATTGGGTAATGGCTATGTTACTCTAGCCAGACTGAAATGGCTAAGGGAAGCAGACCCAGTATTTACCATACAAGCAATACAACACGTTCAGAACCTGCCCCAGGCTGGGGCAGGTCTGGTTGCAGTGGAAGAAAGCTAGATCCCGGCCTAAGCAAGGGATACCACACAAAGGACTGCTACAAGCCCAGGGGAGATAAGAGGTCCAAAGTATGCATGAGTAGGGTGCGAAGGAAGTGACCTGCGAGAGGGCCAAACCTTCTAGAAATAAGGTGTCTTAAAGGCAAGGAGAGTGAGTGCATACTCACACAGCAAGATCACTTCTTAATAATATATCCTGTATGAAACTGGTCAGAAGCCAGAATCTTCTCTGTTCTAATCTCACAGGTTGGCTGAGAAGATCCCTGGAAACCACTCTCAATCCAAAAAATGATTTGTCCACCTTGCTGTGTGTCACAGGTCCTCTTAGCATGCCTGAAGAAGAGCACTGGAATTCTTCAAACCATCTACCGTAACTTGGAGACATTGTTGCCCCACTTTGCGTGAACTCACAGGGCCTTCATTCATTTAAGACTCCAAGTTCCCTTCCTCATTCCTTCCCCACACCAACCTCAGGCCTCAGCTTAGATCCTAGACCTACCTCCCCTTCCACCGCCAGGGTTCTGAGTCCACGTGCCACCTCCCAGCGTTCCCAGCAGCCCACTACAGACCCCACGCCACAAGTGCAGGCATGTGAAGTCGCATCGGGCCGGGCCGTGGGGGAGAGGGCAGTGCGGGGGAGGGGAGCATAATTCGAGATGGAGAAGGCCTTAGGCCGGGTCTCAGTCAAGATGGTGGGTTGGAACAGGCGTTGAACAGTCGGGTCTCAATCCCAGCTCTCGCTGTGTGACCTTAGGCAACTGACTTAAAACTCGGTGCCTCAGTTTCCCCACCTGCAAGGCAGAACGTTTCCAGCGGAGCCCACAAGCTCAGGGAGAGGGCAAAAGGGCCAGGTTTTCCCGAGAGTATTAATGGTGGCTTTCCCGGTAGCGCCTCAGAGGAGGGGCTACGGGAACCACGACCCCCACCCCGAGTCGCCAAGCATCGGGGGACCCGGAGACCACGGCAGCAGACGCGACTCGAGGCCCACGCAGCCCCAGCCGGGAAGCGGAGCGCGAGCGCGCAGCGGAAGGCGCCGGTGGCCCGGGCCC